TCGTTTAAATAAACCCCAAGAACTGCTGCAGAGGAGCAGCACAGCACAAGGAGCACAAGTGGGAGTAAAAACCCAAGTAACCCCGAGTGAACGTGTCTGCGCACGAAATTCAAAAGCTGAATTTCACCTGATTTCAGTACCGGGCGACAAGTAGGTAAGTAGGCAATCAACAGCAATTGCCGAGTCCCACAGAAACAGAAGAGGCTATTATTTTTTTTACGATGACCGCAGATTTGACCGGTTGCCATGATTCTACAGGACCCGCGCGTGTGTAAAGTTAAGTTTGAAAGCTTCCAAAATAAGGAAACTTGCACGACAGAGGCCTGGCGCTTCGGAGCTTAAGTCATTATGTAGACATACTTTTCTTGGATTTGAAAAAAGGAAGAAACTGACAGAAAAGCCGTATGAATTGGGAACAAATCCATCCCTCTAAGGTTTAATATTTGCTGCAGTCCTCGAGAAAGCGAAACCTGTCCAGCAACACCATGGCAGCGAATCGCCGTAGGTAGATGAGCCTACATGTATTTGTCTGCGAACACCCACCACGGTAGGTGACCCTGGGAAAAAGAAATGCCTCCATTCTCCCCGGGATTTCAGTATTGTTTGCCCTCCTTTTATTTGTTTTCCTCCTTTAATTCGTTCTCAATGTGTAATGTGATTAAATTTTTAATGCAGCAATACTTAGCCAGCAGCAGCTGGATGGCATGTCACTGCTGAGACTGCCTTCCAGCTGGCATGTTAACATGCTCAAAACTCTTTTAATGGCCTTTTCCTGACTTTTATGTATTTCTGTTAATACTGAAATGGTAAGGCATATATGAATCCCCATCTCTTGTTCAGAGAAATGTACTTTTGCGCGGGTTCACTGCATGCCAGATCTAGCCGTTAGAGCGCCAGTAGGTGGCCCCCTTTGAAGCAACAAGTACCTTTGATGGGACTACCTTTGTATGAAGTATGCTGACTTCTCCGAATTGCATCAAAAGCTCTGGCGAGGCCGAAATGTCTCCCAGGTGACCCCACAGGGGTCACTTGGGAGAGTTGTTGAGGCTTCTGGACTGGCCTTAACGAGCGCTGAATATGAACAACGGACATCTAGAAAAAAAACCAACATAATTAATTTTAAAAAGTACAAATTTCAGTTTATTTCATCAAATACCGCAGAGTCTGACCTGAAATGGTTAAAGGGGCCAAGAGCCACAACTTGGCTGAGCCCCCGGTAAGAGCAGGGGCCGTCGTGGCTTCTTGTAAGTGTTTCGGACCCTCTAGGGCTGTTGCTGAGAAGAAAACTTGCACAAAAATGTTTATTTTTTTGTTTCTTTTTCTTAATTTCTTAAAACAAGACTGCACACGAGGTCACTCCACAGCTCCTCTCTAACTCGACGCTTGCGGCTCGGCTGTGGCTTTTGAGCCCCGCAGTTTGGTATCTTTTACATCTGTGCATCTGCGCCTTTTCCTTGTTTTGTAAAATTAACTTTTTCCTCCTTCTTGCTGTCTGGAGGACCGATTGATCTTGGTGCTCCCGAGGGTCGCCCCGACGCCAGAGTCCGGGGTAAGTGACCCAGGGTGACCTGGCCGTTTTTTGCAGCCTCTTTGGCTCCCTAGCCTTCTCCGCGACTCCGCCTTCCGTTGCAGCTGCAGTTACTGGATTCTAGTTCGAGCCTGCAGCAGCAACAGCAGCAGCAGCGGCGGCAGCGTCAGCGGCAGCGGCAGCGTCTGCCTGATTGGGCAAGTCCTCAAACTCTGCGCTTTTTGTCACTTTTCCCCTCTGTCCAGCTGTCCTGTGGGTCTGCTGCTTCGCGTCTCCTTTCCTTCAATGAGTCTCCGCAATGGGCCCTTCTACTGCAACGACTGGGCCCCCGCCAGGCAGCAGGGTTCAGTTGGTTCGGCGGCCCCATTGCTTGCGGGGCCCCCCGGAGCCCCCTCAGCCGCAGCTGCAGCAGCCGCAAGGCGCAGCGCAGCAGCTCCGCGAGTGCCCTCTTGCTGCGTGGCAGTGAATGCCGAAACTGCGCAGACACTGGCGGCGTGGGGGCTGCTGCAGCAGCAGCAGCAGCAGCAGCCAGGGGGGGCCCCTGCTGCAGCGCACGGGCTGGTAGTGGTGGGGGTCCCCCAGAGCCAGCAGCTGCGGAGCGGCGTGGGCGTGGCGGCCGTGCTGCGGGCCGCGCTGCAGCGCCGCGGGATCGATCGCCTCCCCGATCCCAGTGCCCTGGCCCCCGCAGCCAGCCCGGGGGCCCTCAGCAGCAACTGGAGAAGCCTGGGGCCCCACATTGAGGCCCTGGGCATTTGGCTGGGGGACACTTGGATGGGGGCCCTCCAGCGAGGTGACCCTGGGGCTGTGGGGCCCCTCCTGGACCTGATTGTTGAGCGGCAGCTCAAGTTTGAACAAAACGTTTTGGCCTACGATAACGCCCCCCTGCCTGCTGCTCCTGCTTCCCGCAACGCTGCTGCTGCTGCTGCTGCAGCAGACAGGCAGCCTCCAGCGGCGGCAGCGGCGGCGGCGGCTGCTGCTGCTGCGGCAGCGGAGAGGCAGCTGCCACCGGCAGCAGCAGCGGCGGCGGCTGCTGCTGCAGCGCAGAGACAGCCCTCAGCGGTAACAGCGGCTGCTGCTGCTGCTGCTGCTGCTGCAGATCCGCAACCGGCCGCCAGCTATGACAGAAGGGTGGATCCCTCTTCCCCTGGGAAGCAAACTGTCCCCTCAGGCAGCTCCAGCTGCCACCGGCAGCAGCAGCGGCGGCGGCTGCTGCTGCAGCGCAGAGACAGCCCTCAGCGGTAACAGCGGCTGCTGCTGCTGCTGCTGCTGCTGCAGATCCGCAACCGGCCGCCAGCTATGACAGAAGGGTGGATCCCTCTTCCCCTGGGAAGCAAACTGTCCCCTCAGGCAGCTCTTTTGCTGCCGGCTCTGCTGCTGCGTTTGCTTCTGCTCGCGCTGCGTCTCCTGCTGCTGCACTTGCTTCCCCGGCGCTCGCGGCTGCAGCTGCTGTTGCTGCTGCTGCTGCTGCTGTGCCCGAGCTGCCTTCCTTTGCTTCCAGTTTAAGCGAGGTCCAATGGTCTTCACATTCTACAGCTCATCAGCCTTTGACGCTGCCCTTTGGAAGGGGAACTCTTACTGAGGTGCAGCAGCAGCAGCAGCAGCAGGAGTGCCAGCAGTCAATGCAGCAGGTGCAGACGCTGCAGCGTTGGGATCAGCAAGGTCAGACGCAGCAGCACGAGGAGCAGCTGCAGCAGCACAGCGTCAGCTGCCCAAGGGAGGCCTCCTGCTCACTCGTGAGCCAGCCCACAGTTGTTGCTGTGAGAACAGCAGCGCAAGCTTCGGCTGCTGCATCAGCAGCAGCAGCAATCGGGGTAGACGCAGCAGCTGCTCAGTCAGAGGTTGCTGCACCCGAGTGGGCAGCTGCTGCTGCGGCCCACACAGAGAGCGCAGCGGCGATGAGGGCTCCGAAGCAAGCAGAGGTCCAGAGTAAGTGGCACTTCAGATGCTGCTGCTGCTGCTGCTGCTGCTGCAGCTGCTGCCGTCCCAGTTCAGTGTCGGTCAGAATATCCGTGGCACCAACGAAAGATACGGAGACGATTAGAAAGATGTAGAAGCAGCAGCAATTCGGGTGGACGCCGCTGCTGTCTGTCTGGGGTTGCTGCGGCTTGTTGCTGCTGCGTCTTGCTGCGTCCCTGTGAAGTGCTTCTGCGCTGCGGCTGCTGCATCTCCTTTGCTGCTGCACCTTGTCTGCTGCTGCAGCGGATGAGCCTGGAGAGCCGCTGGCCACGCAGCCTCCTGCAGGCATGCCTATCTCGAGTCTCCGCAGCAGCGACAGCAGCAGCAGCAGCAACAATCTCTTGTGTCAGTACCTAGCTGAGGCTCTGCTGCAGCCGCTGCGCCGCAGCAGCAGCATCAGCTTTTCTGCTGAAGGCGCCTGCAGCACAGAAGCCCTCCCTGAAAGTCCCCCCTTCTTCTCCCCTGTGGGTTGCTTAGCTGCTGAGGCTCCGCTGCGGCTAAACAGCGGTCCGCAGCAGCAGCAGCAGCAGCAGCAGCAGGCTGAGGCGCATATGCTGGATGAGATTCCCGTGGTTCCCGCAGAGACAGAGACTCTCGGAAATGTCTTGAGCCATGGAGCTGCTGCAGCAAACGCCACAGGAATGTCACCAGGGCTGGCAGCAGACGCGCAGCAGCAGCAGCAGCAGCAGCAGAACTTGAGCAATGGAAGCAACGCCGTTGGAAAGCAGCAGGACGACATGCAACAGGAGCGGTCGCCCTACCTAAGCGGAGGTGGCACCAGCCCGCAAGAAGCTGGAGCAGCAGCAGCAGCAGCAGCAGCAGCAACAGCAGCAGCAGCAGAAGCTGCTGCTCCCCTGGGTGCTGCAGAAGAGCCCAAGATCTCTACTGGGCGCTTCAGCTGGGTGGGCCCTTCGAGGCGCCGCAGCAGCAGCATTTTTGTGTCTCCTTTGGGAGACTTTGGGGGCCTCCCAGAAGGAGCCTTTTCTGCGCACACACTGAAGGGCCAGCAGCAAACCGAGCAGCAGCAGCAGCAGCAGCAGCAGCAGCAGGGGTTCGGCAGCGACAGTGAGGCGGGGCTCGGGTCGCTGTGGAGCCGCAACGAGCAGCAGCAGCAGCAGCAGCAGCAGCAGGGGTTCGGCAGCGACAGTGAGGCGGGGCTCGGGTCGCTGTGGAGCCGCAACGACAACATCGAAGAGCTGTTGCTGCAGTCGCTGAAGCAGCACTTTGGCTGCAGCAGACGCAGCAGCATCAGCATAGTGCAGCAAAAAGGCCAAATGCTGCATGCGCTGCTGCAGTCTGAAGGCTCCCAGGCTTTTTCTGAGGGCCTTCATGACTGGGCTGAGGGTTTGAAACAAAGGGCCCCAGAGGCTGCGCGGCTGCTGCAGCGCGAGCCCAAGAAGGCCCCCATTGTGCTGCAGATCTTCTACGCAGGTGCCGCACCCTGCTGCTGCTGCTGCTGCTGTTGTTGTTGTTGCTGCTGCTGCTGGTGATATAACAGGGTCCTGGTTTCGCTTGGCAAGCTCGCAGCAGCAGCTTGTAATTTTCAGCTGTTGCGCTGCAGCTGCTGCGATGGTTCTGCAGCAGGAAGAGAAGCTGCAGTGCCTTCGCTGCTGCTGCTGCTCCTGCTGCTGCTGCTGCTGCTGATACCCTCGCGGTGTTCCACTAGGCCCGAGAGCCTCGCGGGTGCGACCTTGCGTTTGCTGCAGCTGCTGTTGTCGTCATTGCTGCTGCTGCTGTTGCTTTGCTGCTGCTGCAGGGGCGGCGCTGCTTCACTCAAGAGGGCTCTTTGGTGGCGCAGCTTCGCTGCTAGAGGCTCTTGCGCTTCTGCTGCAGCAGCTGCCTCTGAGCTGCGAGCCGCTGCAGCAGCGGCTGCTGGAGCATCTTCGTCGCTCAGCTGCTGCTGCGTCTTTGGCCGAGGTGGCAGCAGCAGCAGCAGACCACGAAGCTTACGTACACTCCGAAGAAGCAGCAAAACTTCTTGCTGCCACGGGCAATTTGCTGCTGCACTGGAGCTGCGCAGGCAGCGCGGCCTTGTGGGCTGGGGGCCTTCTGAAGAAAGTTGTTCGCGACGAAGCCTCATACTTCCTTCTAGTCAGGCTCGTGCTGGAGCAGCAGCAGCAGCAGCAGCAGCAGCAGCAGCAAGGAGAGGAGGGGAAGGCAGCAGAAGTCAGGGCGTTGTCTATGGAGGTCCTTGAAGCTTTGGCTGTAGAGGCATGCAGCGCTGTGAGTGTCTCCTGCTGCTGCTGCTGCTGCTGCTGCTGCTTTGCTGCTTTGCTGCTGCTTTGCTGCTGCTGCTGCTTTGCTGCTTTGCTGCTGCTTTGCTGCTGCTGCTGCTGTTGCTGCTGTTGTTGCTGCTTTGCTGCTGCTTTGCTGCTGCTTTACTGCTGCCGCTGCTTTGCTGCTGGTGCTTTGCTGCTGCTGCTGCTGCTGCTTTGCCGCTGCTGCCGCTGCTGCTGCTGCTGCTGCTGGAATCAATCATTCAGTCTCGTCCAAAGCTCCTTTTCTTGAGCTGCGCCTCCACCCGCCTGCAGCTGCTGCGCTGTATTAACACTTTGCTGATCTTTATTAACACTTTGCTGATCTTCGTTTTGTTTTCTTTTCGTCATCTTTTGCTTTTTGTTTCATTTTGCTTTTTATTGCTTTTCATCTCCCTGCCTTTTGTTGTTTTTCTTTAAATTAAATTGTTTCCCGCTGCTTTTGGCGGGCCCAAGTGCCTTCGCCGCTGCAGCAGCACCAGCTGCTGCTGCTGCCGTTGCGGCTGCTGCTGCTGGGTTGCCGGTTCAGGTGCTTCAGCGGCAAAAGCCCCTCACCACCCGCGTCGCTGCGCTGCTGGTGCTGGGCCCCTTGATCTGCTGCAGCAGCAGCAGCAGCAGCAGCAGCAGCAGCAACAGCAGCAGCAGCAGCGCGCAGCCTGGCGACGACGATCCGTCCCACATCCACAGACAGATTCTCGGCTGCCTCCGCATAGCCCTTTCTGAAAGGTGACGAACAGCAGCAGCAGCAACAGTAGCAGCAACACTAGCAACAGCAGCAGGAGGAAACAGTTGCTGCCAGCTAAGCCGTCGGCCCTTGAAGAGCCAGCAGCAGCAGCAGCGCAGCAGCAACAGATATATCCATGCGTTTTGTGCCCGTTTTATGCTTCAGAGAAGGGGTGTGGAAATCAGCAGCAGCTGAGACAGCATCTGCAGTTGTTGCTGCTGCAGCAGCCAGCAGCTGCCGAGAGTTTGCTGCTGCAGTGGTGGGAGAGGGCTTTGTTCTGGAGGCCCTTCTTCCCGCAGCTAAGGCACAGAAGGGCATTTATGCTGCACAGTCTCCAGCAGCAGCAGCAGCAGCAGCAATAGAAAACAGCGCCGGAGCGGCAGGCGTAGACAGTAGGTCTATTTGTCCTTATTTCGCAACTCCTTTTGTCTTTTCTCGTCTTCCTGTTTCTCTTGTCTGTTTTTCTTTTTTCTTTTTTGTTTTATTTGTTTTGTCTTTCTTTTATGCTTTATCTTTTGCTTCTTCCATTTTATTTCTTCATCTTTTGCGGTGTCTCTGCTGCTGCTCTTTGCCTTTTCGGGAGCTTCTCCGCCTCTGTCTGCTGGGTGCCTCGGTGCTGCTGCTGCTGCTGCTGTTGCTGCTGCTCCTTTGCTGTCGCTGCTACTGCTGGTGCTGTTGCTTTTGCTGCTGCTTTGCTGCTGCTGCTGCTGCCAACGATCCGGTCTTCTTGATTCTAGCAGCAGCAGCGTGCTTGGCAGCAGCGCAGAAGCAGTCGGAGCTTCATGAAGCGTGTGAACCTGTTGCTCCCGCTGCCACTGCTTACACTGCTGCTGCTGCTGCTGCCAATGCTGCTGCTGCTGCTGCTGTGCTGCTGTGCTGCTGCAGACTCCCGTCTCTTCTCTTTCTTAGAAAACTACCTCAGTGCTGTTGGCCGGCTGTACTCTGAAGACGCGCGACTTTACGCAGCTTTTTTCTCCCACCCCAAGTGAGTCCCTCTTTCTAGCTTGCATTACTTGCTCAAGGGCTGCCAGTCTGCTGCTGTTGCTGCTGCTGCTGCTGCTGCTGTGCTGCTGTTGCTGCTGTTGCTGCTGCAGCTACTGTGTTCGTGCTGCTCCCCTGGTGCTGCCGTAATTGCAGCTCTTGCTGCTCATGCTACTGCTCTTTCGTCGGCGGTCGTTGTTGCTGCTGCTGCGGGCAATATTCTCTGATCCTTGCTGCTGCTGATTTTGCTGCTGCTGTTACTTTTTGCTGCTGCGCTCAGCACGTCTACGGAGTCTGCTGCAGCCCTTCTCTCCGCCATCTCCTGGGTGGGTAGGCACGAGAGGGGCACGCGGGGGCCCCTTGGGGGCCCTTGGGGGGCCCCTGGGGGCCCCGTGGGGGCCTCTTGGGGACCCTACAAGACCCTGGGGGCCCCATGGGGCCCCCCAGGGCCGGCCCCTGAGAAAGGCACCGGGGGGCTTCTTGGAGCTGACAAAAGGCCAAGAGGCCTTCGAGTTTTGCAGCAAATCAAGGCACCTCGTGCTGCTGCTGCAGCAGCAGCAGCAGCAGCAGCAGCACTGGTAGCAACAGCTGCAACGCTGAGAGTAGCAGCACTAGCTAAGCTCAGTCAGTAGTGCTGCCAGCGGCTTGAGCCCAGCAGCAGCAGCAGCTGCTGGTGCTGCTGCTGGTGCTGCTGCATCAGACTAATCGCGTAGCAGGGACGCCCCTGCTGCAGTGCTCCGCCCTTTTGCTGCTGCTTCTGACTCAGCTGCACACAAAAAGGGACCCTATAGATGCTGCTGTTTTGGCCGAGCTGCTGCTGAGCTGCTGGAGGGGCAGGGGGGCTCCCGCGCTGCTGCAGCGGGTCACGCGGAAGCTGCTGCTGCTGGACCGGCAAGGCCCCCCAGTAGCAGCAGCAGCAGCAGCAGCAGCAGCAGCAGCTGAGGCAGGGCCAAGACAATGCCTCGCTGAAACGCTCAAAGACCTTCTGATGGGACCTTCTCGAGAAAACCCTCTTGAGAAGGAGACAGTCGATGCGCTATTATCTCTCTGCGACCAGTGCATGGCGTAAGCCGCCCATCTAGGGTTTAGGGTTTAGGGTTTAGGGTGTAGGGTTAGGGGCGTGGTGTGGGGGGTTTAGGGCGTAGGGTCAAGGATTAAGGGTTTAGGGTTTCCGCTTGAGGGTTTAGGGTTTTGGGTTTAGGGCATAGGGTTGGGAGATTAGCATTAAGGGCTTAGCGCTATAAGAGGCCAGGGGCATCTGGTGGAATTTGACTCGTTTAGGATTTAGGGTTTAGGTTTTAGGGTTTAGGGTTTAGAGTTTAGTTGATTAATAATGCTACACAGTAAAGTGTCTCTCATTTCCTTTCCGCCTTTGCCGTGGCGTCCTTGGTTTCTTTCTCCATATCGCTTTCTCCGAACACTTTAGGGCTTAGGGTTTATGGTTTAGGGTTTAGGGTTTACGGTCTAGAGTTTAGGTTAGGGTTTTGTGTCCAACTGCCTCGGCGCTGGTGCACTGCAGCCGAGCTGCTGCGTGTCTAGTTAAGTGCCCGCGGAGGGTTTCTGCCCGGGCAGCAGCAGCAGCAGCAGCAGCAGCAGCAATATTGCTGCTTTTTGCTTCTTCCCGTCCCTGTCCAATTTGCTGCTTCTTGTCTGCTGCTGCTGCAGAGAAGAGACAGGCGCAGCAGCAGTATCTCACTTCAACAGCCTCACTATTAGCGGGTTGCCCCCAGCGCCGCTGCTGTCGCTTTCTGCTGCGGACCACCTGCTGCAGGAGCTGCAGCAGCAGCACCCTGCAGCAGCAGCAGCAGCAGCAGGTCAGCAGCAGCTAGATGAGGCAGAAGAACTCGAGGCCTCCTGCAGCGACCACTGGCTGGAGAGGCCAGGAGCAGCAGCAAGTTCTGTTTCCTTCAGTCTCACCATTTCAGGCCGCCCCTCAAGCGTTTTCGGGGAGCAGCAGGGCCTGCAGCCAGCAGCAGCAGCAGCAGCAGCAGCGGCAGCAGCAGCAACAGCAGGAGAAGATGTTGGCGAGCCATATCCCCCGAATGAGGTATCTCTTTTTGCGCAGTCTTGAGAACACAAAGAGCAGCAGCAGCAGCAGCAGCAGAAGCAGCAGAAGCAGCAGTGCGTTGTTTGTGGTTTTTGCTGCTCGTCTTTCAGCAGGACCCCCAAGGGCCTCCCCTGAGGGCCCCCCAGGGCCCCTCCAGGGGCCCCAGTGGGGGCCCACTTGGGGGCCCCCAAGAGGGCCCCCAAGGGGGCCCCCAAGGGGGTCCCCTGGGGGCCCCCAAGAGGGCCCCCACGGAGACCCGCCTTGTCCACCGCAGCGTTTTGGCTTCGCTGCGGCCTTTCAAAAGCCAGCCGCCCGAGGGGCCCCCAGCAGCAGCAGCAGCAGCAGCAGCAGCAGCAGCAGCAGATGCAGTAGCAGCAACGCCGGAGCCGCTTGAGGAAGTGGAATGCAAGTTGCTGCTGCAGTGCTTCCGGCCTGTTTTTGTGAAGCTCTTTGAAGTGGTGAAGGTCAGCAGCAGAAGAATTCAAAAATGAAAAAAGAAATTCCTTTCAATCTTCATCTTTGCTGCTGCTCTTTTGGCTTTTGTTTGCTTCTCTTCTGCTGCACCGTTGCTTCAGGCTTTAAAAGGCTGCAGCAGCTGCTGCTGCTGCTGCAGCTGAGCAGCAAAAGGCTGCAGCTGCTCTGCTGCTGCTGCTGCTGCTGTGCTGTTTTCTGCAGAAAGCAGCACAGAAACCCTCAGGAGGAGAAGGCTTTGCAGACCCTGTAAGGGCCCTAAGCCCTTATCCGTAAACCGCAAACCCTAAACCCTAAACCCTAAACCCTAAACCCTAAGCCGCCCACCGTAGCTACAATCGTTTTCGCTCCAACGCATACCAGCAGTTGACAGCCTCAGAGCTCGCAAGACCCTAAACCCCAAACCCTAAACCCTAAACCCTAAACCCTAAAGTCTGCGGCTGCTGCAGTGCGAAGAAGACCTGCTGCCGCTGACGGCGCTGCCTTTGATACTCCAAGCTGTGGGGGCACCCAGCAGCAGCCGCAGCCGGGTCTTCTGCAGCAACCTGTGCAGGGCCATGAAGCAGCAGATTGCTAGGCAAGCAGCCTGCAGGGTTTAGGGTTTAGGGTTTAGAGTTTAGGGTTTGGGGTTTGGGGTTTGGGGGTTCGGGTCTAGGCTGGGACGCTTGGCGTTCAGTGCGTAGGGACTACGGGTTAGGGTTTGCGGTCTAGGGTGTAAGGCGTCGGGTTTAGGGTTTAGGGCTTAGCGTTTAGAGCTTAGGGTTTAGGGTTTAGGGTTTAGGGTTTGGCGAAACCGCTCGTTTGTTTAGGTTAGAGCCGGCTGGGCCTTCTCAGCAGCTGAATGAATTAAACCGAGCGGAGTTCGAGATATTCCTCTGCCAGCTCGCATTCTCAAGTACCTGCAACCCATATCCTAAACCCTAAACCCTAAACCCTAAACCCTACAGTCTAAGTCGTAGACTCTAAACCTCAAACTCTAAACCCAAGGCCCTAAAACAATCGTTTCAATACAAGATTAGCTGCGAAGGGTCCGTGCTTTTGACGTTCTTTTAATACGTCCAGCTTGGAATTCAGAACGTGGAATTTTAGGTTTAGGGTTTAGGGTTTAGGGTTTAGGGTTGTTTGCTGCAGTGGAAAGCATCTCGCCCCCGCCCATGGTGCATCGCGGCGTTGCCTTGGGCCCCAAGACAGAAAGAGGGGCCCAGATCCTGTCTCTGCTGCACCGCATCAAGCGCGAAGGAGGTCAGCAGCAGCAGCAGCAGCAGCAGCAGCAGCAGCAGCAGCAGCAGCACCAACAGCAGCAGCTGATGTTGCTGCTGGTCCTGCTGCAGCAGATGCATTTGTCGTTCTAGCGCTGAAGTCCCAACTCCCTGAGGGTTTTAGTTTGCGTCTTTATTGCATTTCACGCTGCAGCTGCTGCGAGTGCAAAAGCAGCAGCAGCAGCAGGAACTGCAGCAGCAGCAGCAGCAGCAGCGGCAGCTCGACAGGCCACTTGCGCAGAATGCATTTTTCGCTGAGCGTCCTGCAGCAGTCCGGGGCAGCGGAGCCTGCAGGCCTCTGCACCTTCTCTGCCGCCCAAGTTCAGGGCTGAGGGTTTAGGGTTTAGGGTTTAGGGTTTAGGGTTTAGGGTTTAGGGTTTGCGGGCGTTCAGAAGTGCCTGGGTCCCGCACTTCATGCCTCCCCCCACTCATCAAAGCCTGCGAAGCCAGACTAGCAGCTCGTCATGCAGCACTTTTGGTGGAGAGTATAAATTGTTTGTTGAGTGTGGGGGCCCCTATACAGAGGCTGCCGCCCGGTAAACCCTAAACCCTAAACCCTAAACCCTAAACCTTAAGCCCTGAGCCTTGAGCCCTGGACGCTGCGGGGAGGGCGCAGCGAAACCCTAAACCCTAGTTCGTGGGCCCGGCGCCCGGGCGCGGGGACTTCCCTGGGAGAGTGGTACGGCAGACTCACAGTTTGCACTTTCTAGGGTTTAGGGTTTAGGGTTTAGGGTTTAGGGTCTGCGGTGCGGAGACGCGTAGGCCTTGCTCTGATTGAACAAACAAGAGGAGACGGGAAGAGCATCAGGTGGGAGTGTAGGTTCTGATGCTGCAGCGAATTCTAGGGCCTAGGGTTTAGGGTTTTGGTTTTAGAGTGTGGGGCTTAAGGTTTAGCTTTTAGGGTTTAGGGTTTGTGGAGTTTCGGGCGTACGGCGAAAAGCGCAGCACTGGCTACCTCAAGGCGTTTCCACGCAAGCGCACTGTATTTTAGGGCCTAGGGTCTAAAAATTTCTAGCCTAGGGTTTAGGGTTTAGGGTTTAGGGTTTAGGGTTTAGACCGTAGTTTCTGGGGTTTACGGCCTAGGGTTTAGGGTTTAGGGTTCCTGGAGTCTGCGGCTGTAGGCGGGTCGTTCTGCGGCAAGGCCACGACTTCGCGGCTGCTTCAGCAGGAGCAAAATCCACGGCAGCAGCAGCAGCAGCAGCAACAGCAGCAGCAGCAGCAGCAGCAGCAGCAACAGAGCTGCAGTCTGAAGACTCTGTACTGGGGGACGCTTCAGCAG